TAATAATAATAATAATAATAATATTCTCTGCCACAAACATAACGAAATATTGTTCTCGTCCTTGTTAATATATTTCTGATTAAAGACTGTCGAAATTCATTTGATAATATCTTCAACGAAGAATGAAGTCATTGATCACTGTCAATTATTTTACCGTTCATTTCTTTTTTATTCTATGTGTAACGAACGGCAGCAGGTGAATGGAACGTGCTCTCCATATCGATTTGTACGATCTGCATTTCAGATATTCTGAAGAGTTTCGTTCAAGTTCTACTAGCTGCATACATTGCTTTAAATCTAGTTTCTCCTAAAAATATATGGAACAACCCTCCTTATTTTTTCCTAAAAGTATGTGAAAGAATCCTTTAAAGCTGTACTCACATAACGACTATGTTTGTAATAAAATAAATTTTTTTCTATTCATATATGTCTGTATTACATAATATACATGTGTATGTATGTACAAACATTTTGAATTATAAATAACATGTTATATATAGTTTGTGGTGTGTAATAATTATTATACATAAGATATGATTAAAATTATTCCCGAATAGAGGAAAGGAAATTGTATTGAAGATAAAAATGAGTAAAACATTTAAATAATGTTAAGAAACATCATACTTTATTAAGTCAAGAACATTTACAGAATCGTATTCGTTAATTTGAGATCGAAGTCATATGATTATACCGGACGAGTGATTTTGGACGATGCGACGAATTGCAAAGCGCGAAGAATTTATAAATCGAAGACAGCATAGCTCAATCAGCTATTTCACATTAATAAGTAACAAAGCGGTGATTATTAGCGGTTGATGCATGCACTTAAATCCCGGACAGTTTAGTTGGAGTCCTGTCGCGACAGCCAGATGTTGCATGTTTCGCAGGCGGTTTCGCACATCGATGATATAGCCCGGATGGCGAGTTCGTAATCTGCAGCAGACAAGATCATTTATAAACATTTTTAAATGATTTAAATTCATATAATGGTGAATGATTACAAATTTACATTACTAACACGAAAATCATTATCAGTGAAGAAATTGTACATATCAAGAAATTAAGTGATATTTTAATTGGAATTTTAGAAAAGGAATAGTTATATTTTTTGAAGAATTATTGTCAAATATTTTGAACATTATGCTTACCAGTGTTAGTGCCAGAGCGTTTGCCAAAAATGCTTCCATTGAAGGGAGGCTTCCTGTAGGCTGCGTCGACGCTGAGAGCGAGGACGAAGAAGACAGCGACGATGGCAAAGACAACACGTGCAGACACCATTTTGATGGTTTTTGATTTGCGGATTGCTTAAAAGTAAAATAATAGTTATTCCTCAAACACTGATACTAGGAGAGATTAAAACGTCGCAAAGAATCTTGACAAGTTATTTCGAATTTTGAAGGGTTGACAACGATTTTTCTATAGATTACTTACAAATGCAAGGAACGATGAAACTTGGACGGTAGTTGGTCAACGAATGTTGTAAATAAGCGAAAGCTCGAGCTTTTATAGTAGAGAAAAGCGTTGAAGACAAATGTGCCTATCAAGTGCAGGCGCTGTACATTATTTGCAAGTGAACTCATCAAGAAGTTTGTCTAAGGGTGTATTGATCCGGTGAAATGTCAAAATTCTTTGTGTCACGAGTAGGAGAATAACCACAGAAGAGAACGTAAAAATATCTGAGGTATTCCATATAAACCGGAAAGTAACTAACTACAAAATGGTAAAATAATTTAAAAGAAGAGCAGGAACTGAATTCTAGCTTTTTCGAAATGAATTACAAGTATAATATGAAATAAGTATTTCATGAACAAATTTTAAAGAAATTCTAATTGCAACTCTGCAGTTACCTGAAGCTGTCAGATGTGTTATCCCAAGGAGGAGCACTTGTGATCTGTCGCTTCCTCAAGAAAGCTGGGCTTTTATAGGACACTGGATTGTACATCGGGATACGTGAAATAATAGCGTTATTGAATAATGTTACAAGCTATCAGGAACCAAACCCAGTTACGGACACAAATGATTGCTTTCTATCCCAAGGGAAATAACGATCTATTTGCGAAGAAAAACGGAGAATTAGATAGTCTCATATTTAAAAGAAGAATTAGATAAAATCTGATAAGTTACAGTAAAATAATAGCAATAACATAATTTTGTATACACTTTTGTATAACTTAAAATCTTAATTTGTAAATTTTCAACATTCATAGATAATATTATTATTTTCTATTTAAAAAAATTAATTTTGGAAATTAAACGAATAGTTAGGCTAAATTGATACAATAAAAAATTATTTAACAAACTGTGTGAAGTTTTAATTATTGTACTCCTATGAAGAATAGAGGAAGTTTAATACACTGGGAAGTTCGTTGAAAATGACTTAGCCGACTCATGCTCCGTTGACTATCGAGGTGATTCTTTTTCACCATTATCTACAATTTTCTACACGTACTACTGACGCAATAGTAGATTGTACAAGATAAATTATTGTCTGTAGATACACCCACCGTAGTAGTGTTCTACAGAAATCAATACTGGTACTAGATAAGGCAGTAACTTACCATCGAGTTTCTAAATATTCTACAGATGTTAAAAAGTGAATTTAAAAATCAGAAAGAAAACTTCCGAAAAACGGTCATATCCTTCTCACAAATATTGATTTTACATGAAACCTAGCAATCTGCAATATTTCAGCCAAATTAAAGAATGAACATTTTCAAAATCGCAAGAAGCAACACTAAAATGGTAGAACGCAAGAATTCTTTTTATTCGAAATGAACCTATTTGCAAAGTTTCAAATCAGATTTGATCGGCTTGCAGAAGTACAACTCAAACATCATTATTTCTCAGTTATGTTTTTTAGCAGATTTAGAAAAATATGAATTCATGACTTTTAAAATATCAGAAAATCGTATTCTATAATGCAATCTTTGTATTATATAATCTACGTTAAGAAATTTAATTTACATTAATTGACGTTGGAAAATAATAAAAGTGTTGTAGGATACAATTTTTTTATTTATCATATGACAAAACATAAGGCGGACATTGTTCGTTTACATCATATATACACAATGTACAGTTATGAACATAAATGATATAAGTAATAGGTACATCAGAGATAGGGGAGGATCTGTAGGTCTACCCATGAATCTGTTTAGGTATAAATAATCCTTTTCATCATAGTATGATGATCTTGTCAGCACAACGACCACATATACATACATCCCTCATACATCGTAGAGCAATAACATCTAAAATTAATAGTGATCAAACTGTAGATTATACATACATCATTGATTTGTAAATTGGTACCCCAAACTAGTCTCGTTTAAATAGTATATAAATATTTACAACATAATTACGTAGTACACTTATAAGTTTATAATTATTCGTAGCCCAGATAATAAGTTGCTGAAATCGAGTCTTCCGCGCGTTTCTTATTGTTTCTACGTCTATTCGATGCGTTGTCCAGCTCTGCCTTCGTCATTCATATGTATTACAATCCCTATAATATAGTTAGTATAAAAAATTTCTAATTGCATCTTCGACAGACGTGTGAATCGCGCGAAAGACAACGTTTGCATCGCACAGGCATACTATAATCTACGTCTTATTGTCGCGTCACAACGTTCTTTTTTTTTAACGGTACACTATAATGTAAATAAAGAATAGCATGCAGTCCAATCGCGCGACAGAATTCGATGATGCTTCATTAAATTTCTCCCTTCGACACGATGGTTGCATTAAAAGAATAATCACTTAAACAACGACTATCAATATTTGCATGCTCGCATTATTTTGCTCGCCTATCGGATACCTTAACTCTCCGCGAGGCTCACTTGCGTCAGTAGCAAAGAAACTACCAAATGGAAGACATGGATTTTGTTTCGCTTAACTGCTTAAACCTTAACTGCTAATTACAATCGCTTATCAAATATGTGCGTCATAAGAGCAACATGTAAAAGATGATATTTTACAATAGTGGAAGCCTTACGAGGCGTGTCGACGCGTCGATGCACGGATTTCGTTGCATCGCGGTCATGTATAAATATCGTTTATTGCATAATACACACATTGCACGTCGATGTCCCGTTCACACGCTTCCGATACTGACAATGTTTCTGTCACTTTAATTGTGCAATAATGTATGTATTGTTGCCAGTTCCATGAATTGTAACTATTGTGTAATTATTCTTATCTAGTGAAATGATTGATAGCTAATCAACAATGAAACTCTCAATATCTTGAAGAAGTCTAGCAGCTGTCTGATAAAAGTTTTTTTCCTGAATGGTAAGCTTCGCCGTTAAGCGCGTGAACCGGACCTAGCGTCTAAAAATCTTAAGCCTAAGAAAGCAATTGAGTTGCCTAACAATCAATGTTCCATTTATCTCGCAATCACTTTAAAAAAAAAAAACACTTAGTTAATCGATGGATCACAAATGGAAAATCATTTCAGATTAAAAAAAGCCCACAGAATTCATTCCTTATCTCTGTATCGCGATATCGTGGAATTATAAACGAATCTTTGCATGATCAAAATTAAGCTCGTACATGTATTATCGAGGATTAAAAAGTTGAAAACAATACAGAGGAGATATTAATTATCCTTTTATAACGTTATCTGTTATCAATAAAAATACTGACCTTACGTCTATCGGTACCATCGACCATTGTACCGCTAACCTACGAGATACGTAAATTCGTGCCCGTCTGCGAATCTTCATCTGTCGTCTTCATCCCGCGTTCACCCGATACAGTCCCATGTCTATTACGGAATAATGTCACAATGACAGGCGCTTCCTCCCTGACCGTTCTCGCACTGGGTTCTACACCACATCTCCCAATCTACAGAAGTCTCGTCCATGTTCTCAGACTCAACGATTGGCGAACCTGTTTTCAAATTACCGATGACAGCGTCTTCAGTGTCTGCTGCCATAGTCTCCGCAATTATTTTGTAAAGACTTTCGACGCTCAACTGTTGCTGACGTTGCAAATCAGCATAAGCCACGGCTTGTTTCTCATCGGCACGTTCCCTCAACATTTTCCATCTATCAGCTTCCTTCATCTGATCTTTTTCGACCTCCCAACGATCTTCTCCAAGATTTCCGTCATAATTCAGGCTGTCGCAGGAACAGCCTAGACGTTGGATCAGAGAGTATCTGAAGGCAAGACAGGTCTCGGTGGTGTCGAATGATTGAGAATCCAAATCGGAACCGTGGCACGGGGTCAGGCAGAGCCTGAACAGGCGTTGAATGGGAAACCGGCCTCCACCGGACTGAAGGACAGGCCTCTGCTGGTGTTCGCAGACTCCGGCGAACTCGGGGCTGGTGTCCCGTGCACGACACAAACGGACGCATGCGTGCTCGAATGGATGCGCAGCCACCGCGATGACCAACAGCGATACCAGTAACACCCACCAAGGTAGAGGCGTCATCTGAAAGTGATGGCTAATCAATACGAAAGCAAACGAGGAACTCGTGCGCGTTCCGATACTAGCCCGGAGGAAACATCGGAGGGACTGGTTATGGCAATCGGGAATTTCCTGCTATCTCTCTCTTGGTTTTATGTACAGGGTGGCCCTTGGTGAACGTTGGATAGCAGGGAAGAAAATCAGTGGGAAATGTGATAATAAGAATCCTGATATCTTGAAACATTGAAGAGATATCTTATATACACGTATAATGCTAGTGGGAGAGAGTACAAAAATTTTGAGTGACAAAGTAGTAAATTCGTCCAAGAAGACAAAGATTATTATTCAGTTTCTATCGAAAATGTTTTGTACTACATTTTCTTCAGAAATTTTATATTTCTGGCCACACGGTATTTTCCAGGTTTTGTTGGCACGCGGAAGGAGTAATACTAGAATCTTGGTATCCATTATTGGTTTCTGCCGCCGCGTTACTCCTCCGCCCCGTCCCGAACTTTACGATAAATTCCACTAATTGTCACTGAGAGGCTGTACTTTCCTAAGTCAGTCGATTTCATTTTCCCCTGTCGAGTTTCCACGAACTTTTCCCCAAATCGAAAATTTATGACGAAATGCCTTAAATATAATGTCTGACACTCTTTTTTATGAGAGGTTCATAAAATATCGGTTCTGTACATTTCTCGGCTTCGCATGTCTTATTACTTAATCCGTTTTCACGGACTGCTTTAATTAAAACGTCTGCAGTGTATATGAATTATGCATAATACACCTGCCTGTCAAAATGTGACAAATAAAATGTTTACAAGTGAAGAATTAATTCTGATTATTGTAATTCATGTACGTTTATTAAATTTGGTATTTTCTCATTATGAATAAATGTTGAAAGTTGTTTCTACCAAAAATGCAGTAATTACTGAGTAATTTATATTACAGAACTTACCTTCTATTTCAAAATCAGAATAAGTGAAATCAGTTCTTAATCCAGCCAGAAGAAGACGAGGGATTTGCAGTTACACGACGCACGCTATTGATACACTGCTTGATTACTGACGGAACGTATCGCATTAACTATCATTGCCTGTATCAACTGGTACAGTCTGAGTGAGTACATATGTATGTACATTTAAACGTGTTTGTAAACGTGTCTGAAAGATAACGCGATGGGTAATCTTTTCACGGTTGTTTCAATTTACGGTCGCTGACCTAACAATAAGAGACACCTCAACACTTGAATTTGCATAAATTAAAATAATTTCTTACCCTTTTTACTGTATCTATCAAACGTGTCTGATCATTTATCTGATAAGGATATAATGGTATTACTTACTTGTTCTTCCATTTTTGGTAATAGGAATGTCACTGAAAGCTTTAAATTTTCAGTGAAAAATGTGAAAGACAGTCGAAAGGAAAAATAAATTGTATAAATAAAAAAAATTGATTTATCCATATCGAATGTCAATACAGTGTTTATACGGATAATACTTCACGAAGCTAAGAAAAAATAAAGTAAATGGAAGGGTTGTTTCAGTTCTTATATTTATTCACAAAAAAATACCTCTTGATATAATTGTTTAATCTCGAGTGATTATCATGTAGACAATATTTCTTAATTGATTAATTATCAGATATTAATTACAATAGAGAGGACTAGATAAATTCCAGTATAAGGATAATACTATTTCATTATAACATGCAAATGAAAATACATACTAGAAAGCATTGTAATAAAAATCGTACATGTTAGTAACAAACGCTTTTTCCAAAATTGCAGATTTCCATTACAATAAATGTACGTGGATAACTAGAAAATATTTTTCGTATGCATCGAACTAGAATTTCGAATAATTCATGGTGGTCTGACATGTAGTTTTTGGATTATAAAAACACATGGCCGACGCGAGACAAATGTGCCGGCGAAATTCGCCAGGTTTTCAATCTAGGTTACTCGAAATTCGTTTCACGAGATAAATGAGCTCGTTGTCTAGCTCCATGAATATTCGCATTCACGCGTAACCCTTTCGCGTTTGCACGTGAATGCAGAGGATGCATACTATCGCATACCTATACTCGCATATCGATCATATTGCAATTATGCTGAGAATCGGCAGAATCCAGTGTTGTCTGAAGTAAATAAATAATCATTACCAGAAATATATTTTCAGTTGAGGACTCACGTAGTTTAAAATCATTCTTAAATTATGCAATACCCCAATATTAATTGCAATTCAATGATAAAGATAAACGCGTTACTCGTAATTTTATCGCAAACTTCCAGTGCAAAGAACAAATATTTTAACACGTTATCATTTCTTTAGCGTAAATAAACAATGAGATCCTCAATGGTTTTAGTCAATCTTATCAAGAAACGCTCTTTGTAGATAGTAGATATGTTTAATTCAAGTTGCTCAATAGAACGGAAGATAGCTTCAAGCAAACGTTGGAGAAAGAACTTTAATGTAAGTAATTTACGTACTTTAAACCGATGGTGCAGCAAAAATTCAACCCCAGGCGTTCGACAATTCTTTCTGTTGGATGCTACCGGCTACGTTCAATTTAAACTTTCTGAATGAAATAACAGTGACGCGAAAGAGTTTGTTAAGTTTTTTCTTACTATATTCCAAATCGATTTCTTTCTTAGTTTATAAAATATGAAAGTTCGAAGTGAACTGCTTCCAGCGTTTGCTTCATATTAATTTATTTTAAATAATTTGTTCTCCGAGTTAATAATAAGCTAATCAAAAGCACACACTTGACACAACGTGACGTAAACAAATAGAGGAATGAGTAATAATTTGATCTGTGGCGAACCATTCTTGATTTCAACGCGGTTTTTACGAGTGCGGTTTCACTTCAAGGGAAGCTACCGCTAGTTGCGAAGCAGAGAATATCGTTAACAACCAAGAAAACTCATTCTCCGATGCACATACCGGGTGTCGAGAGAGCATAGGTTGCAAAGGTGGAAGGAGTATCGACCTCAACGAGGCGTTTATGTGCAGAAGAGTTGTTACGTCCCTGGTACATTCTGGGTTTCGTCCTCCCTGTCCTCCACCCTCTCGCGAAGGACGGAGGAAGTATTGATTAAATTCACTGTCGGCCATTTTGTCCCGGTGTCCGATTGGCTGCCGCCCATTTTGTCCTTCTAACCCCCTTCATCCCACGCCTGTCTCTATTTCTGCCTTCCACCTCGGTTCCGTCCCTGTTTCTCTCGTTCTGCTTTTCAGTTACAAAGTCCTCGGTACTCGCGGTGGAGAAATTAGAGACGGAACGCATGCGTCGCGACATTCTCCGCGAAAGAAATCAGCAATCGGATTTTTTGCCCGCTCCTACATGCTCCATCGTAGTTCTTCTTCTGTTCGAAATTCTGGATGCTGGTATCGGAAATCGTGATTGTTCATTTCCTTGCATCTAGATGCGTCAGGAATATAAATTCTCAGAAAGTTTCACTAGAGAACTTCGAATTTTTCTAAGCAGAGATTACTCAGAAGAGAAATACGGTTAATTTATTTTTTATCTTTAGTAACGCTTTACTAATTCATGCCAAATATAGAAAGTATTCACTAATATGAACTAAATATTACTGTGACTTTCTATTTACTCAATAGATCATTCAGTTTGCCCTAAAAGACTCGCCTCTCAGCTAGTCAACCCATAGATACTTATTTGATTCGTGTAAATTAAATACTATCATAAATCTCGGAAAAATCTCAGGAAGTTATTCTGACCTACTAACGACAGTATCACACAGGTGATCCTACTTTTGCCTTGACTACGAGTAGGATAATTTCACACGCTGATAATAACGAATGACGGTCAAAGGAGCTCGTGAGGCCATGCTCCAGAAACTCTATCATTCCCAGCAGCTAGCTATCCCTCTGGCGCGTATTTCAGGCAAGCGTGCCAGAGATTTCGCGGCTAAGTAGCTCCTCGAGATCTCGTCGGGTTTCGCGTTAGAGTACATTCGTAAACATATAAAAGGTACGACGTGCGCGCGTGCACCCTTGCGGCGGAAACCACACGCGGCGCGAGTCCCGTATCTCGAAGCTCGGGACACAGATAAGGGTGAACGATACGTCATACCACGTTCTCTGACGTCAGCGTGACGTTCGAATAGAGATTGGCTGGAGATCGGCACGCCCACCGAACCATCCCTTGTGCACGATACATCTGGCTGCCGAGGTGTGTCGCTCCGCCCACGCGAAAACAACCCCCGTCGGATCACGGGGGTGGCTACGTGGGTTGCACGAGAGAGAGAAACTAGGTCAGCTAGACTCGAGGCAGACCGAGTCAAGCCGAGGCACGAGAGTCGTCCAGGCGTTTTCGGTTGGAAGCAGTCCCTTGGAAACCACCCCGAAGCCCGTCGAAGCTTCACCAGTCTATCGTCGATCCATCCTCGAGTCTTTCGAACCAACCACCGAGACAGCTTCGTTCCCTGTTCACGTGAACGAGACCACCGATTCCGTGCCCTTAGGAGGATTTGGTAAGTACCACCTTAGATACGAGTTTTCTATGGAACACCCTGGTTTTCTGACCTTGACTCCTACTCGCGTTTTTATATATCAATATTTGACGAGAGATGTTTTAAAGATTGATCCCCTTTCTGGGGATGAAAATTGAAACCAATAACAATATTTTTTATCCTGGTCTTTGTGGAAATTTAATGATAATTATTCTATCTTTTAAACCTCTCTCAGCTCTTGATCGCTTTCACGCCTTCTTTCTTCTCGCTTCATTTTTTCATATTAGCAGCATTTAAAGGTGCGTATAATCTTTCTCTATTAATTGATTTCCATAACCATTATACAGTGGCAAGTTCCATCATTCGTCCATCTCTGAACATAAATTGCTAATCGTTACATTTAAGACTTGGATGATAACTGCATGATTGTGCATTGATACTATTTTCTATCTCATAACCATTACTCAATCTGCACTAATCTTAACTAGTCTTTCAATATAGTGATTCGTAGTGTCTGATCTCTTCAGGATGGTCTATCGCTTACGCTCCAAGGACCAGTCAATCGGTTCAGAGAGCTACGATATTCCAGAGAAATATAAGAACTCGCATAAAAAATGAACAGAACGAATTGAACGAATGAAAAAAAAGAATGCTCTCTGTCCATGTTTCTTTGGTCGCTCGGCCTGCCGTACCGCTCCTTCAGCGTTTGATTACCGCTTATGCAATTTCTGTCAAGCTCTCGCTGGAAATTAAAATAGAGAGACGAAGCAGACGAAAGTTTCGGAAAAGCTCGACACTGAAGCGGACACTGTTGTTGATTGTTGTAGGGACTGAGGCGAGGGACACAAGCAGAGACATGGACAATGTGCAAATGATCGGCACTAAAATCACAGCGATCAAGGAATACTTATATGTAAGGCATTCCCATTCGCTGCACGTCACAATCATCGTGTCTTCCTTCACTCTCTTTCTCTTTTTCTCTTTTTCTCTCTCTCTGTCTCTCTACTCTTCATTTTGTGGTCGTCTGTCAATCGTAGCTGTCTTACTATTTTTTCATCTTATTATTCTTTCTTCTATGAAATCGTAATAGTTTGAATATTGCTTGGATGCTTTTAGTACTTTCACATGTCCTCGACAGGTTTCAGAAATTTCTTTATCATTACCTGTTAGATTTGCCCTGATCAATCAGATTACTACTACGGAATGGTAGTAACGTATGTGATGAATCTTACTTCGCGTGTATGAATCCTAGAGACATAGACTTTTATTGTAAACTTTCAGAACTTCGCCCGGACACACTCGCCCACCAGACTAATGAGCTCCGAAAATACGTACTCGCTCTCCAAAGAGCATTGTAACCTGAAGTATACGGGTAAGCACGGTTAAAAATATTTTCCGACTCCTTCAGTGTTGAAGCATGTTAAGCAAATGTAGAAGTAAACTAAAAGACGATATATGATGTTCGCCTTACGAGAATCCTTTTTTAAAAAAATTATCTGCGCTATGTTCAACAAATGCGTTTTAATAACACGACAATACATTTAATAACACCACAACTGCTTTCTTGCGTAGCCCGCGTCTGACCACGTACGGCTTGTTCTACTTACTCGCTGTTCTCTCGGTTATAAGCAAAGTAAATTATCGCTCGTCAACCAACGCTTTTCTTCGCATGTCCGAACGCCGGATGCTGTCTTGCCTTTTTGAGAATGGAATCCGGGAGTCACAATATTGTCCTGATTTCGCAACGCGAAGGGTGCATAATAATAGAGGATTTAGAATTGGCCTGAAGAGGCACGTAGCCGACGAGTGGCTGAAGACAGATTACACACCGCAGAAAGGGCGGAAGGGTTTGTCGTAGACACCCTGTTTGCTCTTTGCCAAGTGTCGACTACCGATAAGAGTAGCTCCAACTGAAAAATTCAAATCCTTTCAATTTATACTTCTGAGTTCTTTTTTTTAACTAAAATTGATTGATTTGATTTGATCCTTAACCACAAAATGGGTTTTAACATCGTAATAACATCAGATGTAGGAGCTTGTTAGCTGTAGAAGTTTTATAGAAGTGTTACAATGTTTATTATGCCGACGAAGTTTGAAGATCCGACGAAGCGTTTATTTCGATTTCCGCGCGACTCATTACTATAAATTAACCGTATAATCTTGCTTATAAATCGCTGCAACTAATTGCCGTGTGTAGCAACCCCCGCAAGGCGGTTTGATTAAAGCCACGAGCCGAGGGTCCGGTGCATCTGGTGCCAAACGACGTACGAGTCTCGCGTAGATTAAGCCCGAGCCTGTAATTCAGCCAACAATCGCAGCAGACGCATTCGTCTTCTGCAGAACTTAATGATAATTATCAATACTTCACATCGCACATTCACCCTTGAAACGGAATAGGTATTTACTGTGTCAAATCATTTGTTCCCTTGGAATGTTAGAAAACCTTGAAAGAAGGGAGTCTGGCGGTCTTTTCGGAAGTTAGATTGATAGAGCTGGATTAGTTGGAGCAGAGCCCTCGAAAGCCAGGGATTTCCCTTGTCTAACCATAGGCTCAGAACGATTCACCATAAGGTTCCGCGCTCCCTTCTTCTTTCATTCGATTCTCATCCATCGCTCTTGTGATTATTGAAAAATACACTTATCTCTTCGAGAAGGCTTTACGGTTCTCCTGCTCTAGTCGTCTTTATCTAACAATGAATTTCAAATATTGTAATTTGTGATGAGAAATTTGTTATTCAATGATAGAAGTCTTTAACTTTCATAGAAATTATACATAGTATACAATTGTCTAAACAGTTTTTTATTCAGATATAGTTCTCTTTCTTGTTATACTATTGACGTGTAAAAACAATGATTTTAAGATATGGTTTTGTAGATAAATAAAGCTGAGTGTTTATCCGTGGAATCTTCTTAACGCAATGGAAAACGAAGGGTGGTTTATTCGACGGGATATTTTATGGTTGCCTTAGGTCTGAGGGACAGTTCAATCTACCGAGGATTTACTAACGGCACATTGAAATATCTGAAGATATTCTACATTATCTTCACAGAATTGGATCTAAAAATTGTTAAACACAAATCGATATTCATATCACAATCTTCTAGTAATTAATAAACGTATATTAAATCAAATTTATATTAAAATAAATTTTAATTATTGCATTTTGCATTATACACTGGCATTTTATTAAATGTGCATTTTCATTCTGCACGGTACTTTAAGTATGATTGCATGAAACTCTTAAAACAGCGATGCGAGTCATTCGCCAACAACGTAAGAAGAGGATGATGATGAATGAAAAGGACAACGCAGGATGTGAGATGGATGGTGTCATCCCACCAAACAAGTGAGAGTGTGTCGATATAGGTCTATACTTTCAATTGTTTGATGAGGTGAAATCATTCTAATAATTGACGTTTTCTGCTTCGATGGACGTCGGAGAGCCGACGGTAGGTCTACGGAGCGCCTGCGAAAACGGACGCTCATTATCAAACGGTATCAAATCGATCGATGTCGCTATCGTAGAAGAGATTTCACTTGATTACAACAATTAGAGAGTCACCGTAGACAATTAGCTCAGCTTCTTATCATGGTCAATGTGGGAACTCTTGTTACCTTAACGTCTTCGAAATTATTATACAACGTATTAAGGATTTCAAAAAGTTTCATCTCGAGAATAAATAATAATACGTTTTTATTAATTGCATGCATTTTATTTATAAGTGATTGAAGATTCTAAGGGAACACTCTTTATTATTATATTCGTTCGTCTTGTAAATAATACAAGAATTAAAGTACTTTGGTAAAGAATTAGAAAACTGATTGGAACACAGGTTAATAAAAAAGTACGTACTGCGAAAATGTGAAGCCTCAATTAAAAATTGCTCAATTCTGAAAGTTATATCTGCTTTAAATTTTTTATTTTGTTGCTCTCAGATATCCTACCTCACAATGTGGAAGGTTATCCGGCAACGAAGGAGTTCCTGATGAAGGTGGTCGATATTCTATTCGATTTCATCAAAGCTACGAATGATAGAAACGTGAAGGTGCTCGATTTCCATCATCCATCGGAGATGATGCGTCTTCTGGATCTCGAGATTCCTGACACCGGCCTGACTCTCCAGCAACTGCTTATCGACTGCTCCACCACCTTGAAGTATCAAGTAAAAACTGGTAAGTCTAACGCCATTTACGTAACGAATTTAATTATAATTGCACGGAAACTTAAAATATAAGACTTGAATTACAAATACACAGTAGAAATTGCGAAATAATTTTTCGACGAATATTAAGAATATTTGATGAAAAGAGGAACGATTGAGAGAGATTTAACAGAGTATCGTTTAACACTATTCCATCGTATTTCCTTGCATCCACGAGGGCGATAAGCCATATAATTTCATATTCAATTTAGCATACGCTCTCGCAGCGGAGATAAGACCTCTCCGTCGGATCCGACCCCCAGAATATACACGTTTCTCTCATGTATAACGTGATAAATGAGTGGGGTACAAGCGGTAAATGAAATAAAAAAACAGTATCTACTTGAATCATTTACGTTGCGTGGTCTTGAAAATAATAGAACTTCACAAACTGATTGAAATATAAATTTCTTTGAAGTTTTTTACATTCTTTCTTAAAATGAAAATGAAATCATACGTAGTAAAATTCATATTATCAATTCTCATAATTTTATTTTCATATTTTCTAGAATCTGAAATGATGAGGCTATAAAAATTGCTCTTTTTTTTTATTAAGGATTCATTATTTATTAATCACTGCCTAACGATTTTTGCTTGAACGTCGGAATTACGTGCAGAGGCGTTGATGTAAATAGTCGTGACTCTGGAGTCGGATCTAGTCTATACCGTCTCGGTCGAGGAAATGCCAAAAGTCAACCGCAAATCCCCCGCGAAAGTTCGCTATCTCGACGGGATTCGATTACCGGCTTGAATAGATGCTAATGCACAATGGAAGAGGGCTAACCGAACTTAGGCCAGAAATCAGGCTTGTCTGCCAACGCGGCGAGCGTCGAGAGAGTAACGTAGACAGGGTGAGACAACCCCTGTGTATAGAAGGACGCGTGCACCACGTACTATGTACTATATACGCGCCCGACAAAAAGTCGTTATTAGATCATACGTCACAGGATTCCCTCGAAGTATCTGACCGGTCGCGCACCCGTAAAAAAAGGAACTGCCCTCCCTTCCGCGGCAGGATCAATTGATCGCAGATACGCTGAAAAATATATTTTCGGGGGTGCCGTATGATAAGGACGTCGATGATAGTCCTGTGAAATATGATATAGTGGTAATACGTGCGGTTTAGAAGATAGTGTTTTTGTATAAATAGAAATATACATACAATATAAATTATTTTCTTAAAAATACTCAGATTTGGTGAAATGAACGTTATTTAATACATGAATGTTTATTTCTGAATTAAATTTTTCTTTATTATGTAATTTAAGGCGCATTTGGGTATTTCGTATCTGGCGATCGAAGGAGATTAATACTGACTTATAACAAGATACTGCGTGCGAGTATCTTGATTGATCGCGACGTAACCGGAATATCGACATTCGTGATTGATTCATGTATTACATGTATACATATATACGACACACTTTCGATACGGAGACCTTGTGCATTTTCTTGAAGAAGATTGCCTCGTCCTCAATATCGGAGATAGATGCTCCAATTGTTATGACCTGGAAAACACAATCAGGAATTTTTCAATAAACGGGCAATCTTTAAAATGATACGTCGTTGAAAATCTGGAGAAACCACACCCGATTCTTAACTGGAAACATTTGGCTTGTAATTGTCGATGCTTTAAGAAAAAAAATTCGTCGGAATTCGCGAAAGGGTAAACAGAAAAAAGGGGCAAACAACAATACAAACCGTGGCTATTGAAAAACACAGTTGTAGCGTTAGCGCACGTGGCACTGCTGCGCAGGGTGCCGAATTCAATAGGATCGGTGTAATTAAGAGCCATTTCTACACGATTTTCCCTCGCTGGGGTCGAGGGAAATAGTAAATAGGGGCGAGCGATCGGGACTGTGGTACGGGACCGCGCAACCGTAGGGCGAACCCTTCGCGAACTTTCGGCGCTGAAGCATCAGCGGATACACCCACCGTTGGAATTTAAATTGGTATCGATAGTCGGCCCGCGTGGAATGTCAAAATCGTTTCGTCATGGAACGTAGATGTTGTTCCGTCATCCAGGCATTTGCAATGCAATGCTGTCGTGGGAGGAACGAAGATCGTCTAAAAATTACCCTGTGAATCCCATATCTTTAAAAACTATCATAAAATATATCTTTTTAATAATTATTGATATTAGGAAAGGATATTAAACACAATTCTGATACGAAATATTTATACTTTGTTGAAAACCACGTATTGTATAAAAAAATCTAAAATAAACTTTCATGGAAGACAATTTACTAGATATTTTACAAATTATCATATAAATACATAGTCTTAAATTTCTCTCTAGTATTCTTAATCATTTGTGAAACTTGTTGAAGCGCGAAATTGGGAAAGATGTTAGAACTAATGATGGAAAACTAAATGTCGCTCAGAGTCGCATTCAAGATCAGGTTCAAGACTACATTCGAAATATTTTCTTTCCAGTGGTATGATTGATTGCATGGTATTAATGTTAAGCCAGGTTTACACACTTCTCTTCATACAAATCCTGATCCCCGTAATATATTACCAAGGTCTGCTCCGAGCAGGTTCTTCCTAGAACTTGCTCCCTTCCTCTATTCCAGACGGAGAAAGAGAGCAAATTAGTCGGAAAATGACCCTCTGATGTTCTAATCGCTCGGGAGAGCAATACTAATCGTAGAATCCGTGGATAATAGATCAATAATGATCTTAATCAATTGACTCATAGAAGAAGCAACATTTCTTATCAAACAACATATATTTTGTACTCAAGTATTTAAATATCGTCACAAATGTACGGTAATGCATATTTTTTAAGCATAAATCTGGGTGCAGAATAAAAAACTGATTTACACAGAACTGGAGAATCGATCGTAACCAAAAAAGATTGCCTCCCATTAGATTTAAGAGACCGTCTTCTATTTTGTCACTTACTTTGCGGTAATGGAAAAGAGTCTAACGGGGATCCGATTCGAAAATCCCTGCAGCTTCGTTCAAAATTAACATACCCTTAAATCTGCATAATTCGCCAACCTGCCTGGCTTATCTCGATCCGCACGTTGCACTCGTGTTTATTTTCCCTATCTTCCTATAAACTATCCGACTATAAACATCTCCCGCTATTGTATTCTCGCTCGAAACTGTCGAATGTTCTACTTCTTAATTTTCTTTTCTACCGTACAATAATATATTCTTAGCTATGCAATGAATTGTTAATGTTTTTTTTTTAATTTGTGTCCTAATGACTCTGAATTTTGTACAGATATTATGTGATTGATTTGATCAAGTATTAATCAATCAAAAGTAGATATACGCTACATCTTGCAACTTAAATTGAGACGGAATTAATTTTGGAAAAACAGAATTAGGAAACTTTAATCAAGAGATAAATCTCTCAACCGTCTTTCAATCTCCTATTTACTCTGAATTAATTTAGCGAATAGTTGAAACTTTCTCAATCTATTCCAACTCGGGCACTAAACATCCCGCAGAATAGTTTCCCTTGGGCACCGCTGCGGCGTTTCTCGCAATTTGCATAATGCAGATCGGCTTAGCTCACGCCGCGACGCTCGATTGAAATAGTTTGTTTTTTCTACTCGGTCCTGGGCCACGTCGGTTTGAGAGCCTCTGCAAACAATCTAGTCGCTCAGCGACGCGTGTGACGCGCAAAATGCGGGCGCTTCGGACCATCGACCCTCCTCCACCCTCGACTGAATCCACGTCGTGCCCGATACTCCTGGAAAAATCTAGGGGGTGAGACAGAGATAGGGAGAGGGACCGTCTTGTCGCACCCCCTCTATGACCGGACGCGTGCCACGATCCACGGACCAAGATAATTGCGAATAACACTGCGACAAACGGCTCAGATACCGCTGCTCGATATCGCATTTAGGGGGTGGCCACTTTTGTGTCGGTTGTATACGCGCCAGTCTCCGGAGACTTCAGTATTTAGATGGTGAGATTCGTGGGTTGTAGAATAGAAAGAGTGGTCACAGGCATTGTTTAAACATACGTACTTTAATTATTGATTAAAGAATCGAATAATAGATAAAGGGGGTAGAGTTTGTTCCATATTAATTATCTAGTATTCTATTTACGCCGAAATTGTAATTTTTTATTTTTGATTTCTTACAAACATTGCATGACAAGATTCTTATTTTTTATTCGTATATTATTTAAATGTTGAATTTCAAAAGTTTATTATGAAAATCTTCATCAAATACTGAAGCGTCGCGACGGCTGGATTTCGCCACAGGGACAATCCTGAAGCTAGAGTTCCAGATGTGCCAAGGGGAGCATTTAGCCCCTGAAAGACGTTATACGTCAATCACTACGTAATACCCTGAGATTAAAATGTCTAGCCAGCACCCTCGAAATTCTCATTCGCGTCTTTGGTCTTACTTACTGTTTGGGAAAATAGTATCTGTCTCTTAAGAGACATAATGCATAACATTCGAAGTTTTATTCGCCGAGAAAATCTTCCTCGCAGGTTATCAAAGGTTGCGAGGATATCGCGCACCCAGGGGAAAAAGTCTTTTCGCGGCCGGATATTCAATGGAGGGGATCCATCAATTCTCAGGATCAAGGGATCTAAGTTATTTTAGAGAATGATAGAATACGGACTCGAAGGACAAAAAAGATCCTGCATCGTGAAATAATTTCATCTATACACACAGATACAAACACGTCTCTGAATAAAAACGATAAAATCTGAATATTTACATCTGCTAAGCAATAATCATGTTACAAATTATAATGTTCCTTTAAATGTTAATGAAATTTATCATTTCTACTTGTTAATTAATTCTCTCTTCCATCTAGTACTATTTAAATAGAAAATAATTCAGACTTGACACTGTACACTGATAAAGGAAGAGGATAGGACGAATAAAAATCACTGATTTTTCCTGTATTCTCTATGTATAGTATAGTATAGTACAAGTTCATTCGTAATAGCTATGTTCGAGGAACATGAGAATCCTAACACCAACTCACCCCATTCGCATCAGGAGGCAGACTCCCATCGAACAGAAGCATTAACCCTGATCCTAGCGCGATGTTCAGCAGAGCGGATGACAACGTACTCAGCGAGCGGCTTAAAGCTCTCTTCCCATCGCTTTCTATCCGCGTGCCTTTAACGTCCGTTCTCGCATTCGATGCCACGAATGCCTCCATATAATTTTTGGCCACGTGCCACGTCACTGTTATTAATTACCTTGCCATTAAACGGCGTCTTCGAACAATCACGACACTCGCAAGGGTATGAGCATACCGTCTTTGATTTATGAGTTTATTGAAAACAATTTAATTGAACGTAGTGGAAGGAATTGTATACATATGTATAAAATTTATTTTAGGGATTAGTTGGCTTAAGAAATTAATTAGATACTTTACGAAGTTATTTATTGTTTCAAGAACAGCTCGGGAATTTTACGAATTTTTTATTCTTCATTTTTCACAGGCCACCCTCACTTCTTCAATCAATTGTCTTGCGGTTTGGATCTCGTCTCGATGGCCGGCGAGTGGCTCACGGCGACGGCGAACACGAACATGTTCACTTATGAAATCGCGCCGGTATTCATTCTTATGGAGCATGTCGTGCTGCAAAAGATGAGGGAGCTCATCGGCTGGAACTGCGGCGATTCCATTCTTGCTCCGGGTGGTTCCATCAGCAATCTGTACGCCTTCCTTGCAGCCAGACATAAAATGTTCCCCCAGTATAAGGAACGTGGCCTCTCCGCTGTCGGAGGACAGCTAGTTATGTTCACGTCTGACCAGGTACGACTTGTTCCACTTAGAGTGGTTATTTAAATAGAAAATAATTCAGACTTGACACTGTACACTGATAAAGGAAGAGGATAGGACGAATAAAAATCACTGATTTTTCCTGTATTCTCTATGTATAGTATAGTATAGTACAAGTTCATTCGTAATAGCTATGTTCGAGGAACATGAGAATCCTAACACCAACTCACCCCATTCGCATCAGGAGGCAGACTCCCATCGAACAGAAGCATTAACCCTGATCCTAGCGCGATGTTCAGCAGAGCGGATGACAACGTACTCAGCGAGCGGCTTAAAGCTCTCTTCCCATCGCTTTCTATCCGCGTGCCTTTAACGTCCGTTCTCGCATTCGATGCCACGAATGCCTCCATATAATTTTTGGCCACGTGCCACGTCACTGTTATTAATTACCTTGCCATTAAACGGCGTCTTCGAACAATCACGACACTCGCAAGGGTATGAGCATACCGTCTTTGATTTATGAGTTTATTGAAAACAATTTAATTGAACGTAGTGGAAGGAATTGTATACATATGTATAAAATTTATTTTAGGGATTAGTTGGCTTAAGAAATTAATTAGATACTTTACGAAGTTATTTATTGTTTCAAGAACAGCTCGGGAATTTTACGAATTTTTTATTCTTCATTTTTCACAGGCCACCCTCACTTCTTCAATCAATTGTCTTGCGGTTTGGATCTCGTCTCGATGGCCGGCGAGTGGCTCACGGCGACGGCGAACACGAACATGTTCACTTATGAAATCGCGCCGGTATTCATTCTTATGGAGCATGTCGTGCTGCAAAAGATGAGGGAGCTCATCGGCTGGAACTGCGGCGATTCCATTCTTGCTCCGGGTGGTTCCATCAGCAATCTGTACGCCTTCCTTGCAGCCAGACATAAAATGTTCCCCCAGTATAAGGAACGTGGCCTCTCCGCTGTCGGAGGACAGCTAGTTATGTTCACGTCTGACCAGGTACGACTTGTTCCACTTAGAGTCGTTTCTCTCAAACGTGTTTTAGTATTCGTACCAAGTTCTGAATTCTGATTTAGCTAAAAATACAGATTAATTTTCGTCACATTACCAAAAAATGTTCATTCTTAAAATATATCTTCCAGGAATTATTCTTTATTTATAGTATTATTACTATTACATAATCATATGTATCTTAATTTACGTGGTCTAATTGTAAGTGGTAAAATTATTTTAATACTGAAACAGAGATGAAATTCAGAATTCTCTTAATCTATTGAACAGTGTCATTATTCGGTGAAGTCATGTGCTTCTGTCTGTGGATTGGGAACGGACAACTGCGTGATGGTTCCCAGCGATGAACGAGGTCGCCTGATTCCGTCGAAATTGGAAGAATTGATTCTGGAACGCAAAGCTAGAGGACACATCCCATTCTTTGTGAACGCTACCGCCGGGACAACCGTAATCGGAGCATTTGATCCCATTCCTGAAATCGCTGATATCTGTCAAAGACACCAGTTATGGCTGCACGTCGACGTAAGTAATACTAAAATAATTTTATCAAACACCTATGAAGGAATCTTTGAAGAAAGTAGCTACATGAAAGTCAATCGAAAAGGATAATTGTGTTGTTTCGCGTTTTTAATCATCGAAGGTATAGAATAATAATTTGACGAAACGAATGAGGAAAGTAAAAGTGTTTCGCTGCAAAGAGATAACAGAGATTTCTATTTAGTCGGACAGCTTATTCAAATCAGTTCAACGCTCGGACGATAAATGCCAAACGCGTAAGAGCCTTAGCGTAAATAATAAATGTGAGAAGCGACATGTAGTCGAAGAGCAGCCCTACAGGCTAAATTGAGGGGAAATTCGGAAAATCTAGGCTTTACAAGTCAAAGTGTTTAGTGTTTTAGTAACGTTTTATACTTCAATTTCTTCATAGGCGGCTTGGGGTGGTGGACTGCTTCTCTCGAGAAAGTATAGGCATCCAAGGCTGACAGGCATCGAACGGTGAGTGAAAAACCATTCTTTATTAAAAGCATGACGTACTTTCACCCTCGAAATAGCTTCAATTTCGGAGTGAACGCACTGCTTTTCGATCAACTAGAGACACCTCCGCATGAGTTTCGCAGAGGGGTGACTTAATCCTCGTACTTTATAGTTTATTGAGGCTTAGTTTGATGGAGTCACTCATGGAGGAAAGTAAACCTACGCACATGCATGAGAGATAGAATCGATAAAGCCCTTTCCAAGTCTCTAAGGCTAGAGAATACTTTAAACCTTATAAAAACCATACTATATGATAGTGCGCTATGAAACAAAACAAAAATTTCCAAATTTAGAATATTTCTATGATACCAAATGTAATTATACATTCATTTATACGTAATTATGTATCATAAATAACACAACACGTGTGTATTAAAAATACTAAATTGTCATAATGCGGAGCAGTTTAAAAGAAATCTGTGTTGTAAAATTTTAAATCAAAGTGGGTCGGATAAATTAATTGATGCGGAAAGTGGATACCTGTCGGCTATTTTGTGGACAGTGTCGTAATCCGTGGAATCGAGGGAGTAGGTGATAGGAAGGAGTGACTCCTGTCCTCGACACATGCGAACTCTCTCACATACAGTGTCGTCCGACCCCTCGCGTTCCAAGGGGGTCAGGGATAGGCCGATTCGGGGATAGCTCAGATGGGGTTGGCGAGATTAATCCGCGATTTGCATCCGGCCGCATCTGCTCCCTTCATTCATCGCCAGACAGTCCGTGACCCGAAAAAACTGGCACGAGACTCGTCGAGGGAAATGATTTTCCCAGCGGAAAGTCGCCTGTTTAATGAAATATCGAGTACCAGCGAGGACAGTTCTTCCGCTTCGTGGATTTTATTCAAAGTCTTAATAACAGAGATGCAGAGAAATGAAACGCGTTGAACAATAGGCACTACGCGTTTTCACTACGTATCTAGAAAAAAACGTTTTGTCGAGCTTAATTAGAATTCTTGTGATCGTATATGACAAATATTATATAGTACGAACATGTGAATAACGGACACGCGTGTTTAAACTGTTCATGATGAAATATTGTTCATCGATGCTGTTCTCTCGTTGTTTCGCGTTGGATGCCTACACGGACTGTACCGCAGGACTTCCTTCCTGTGAAGGTCTTGATTAAAATGGCAAACGAAAAGTTCGAAGGACCAGCAACAGCTGGATCAGTTCCCTGGAGCGCATTTGCAGAACAGAACTCTCCTCTTTATATATCGACGCGCCGTATCGTACCGTGCCTGCCTTCCGCGGGCCTGAAATAAAAGACCGTGCCTCGACAATGCTGGATTAAACTCGTACAAAGGGAACAGCTTCCCTCATTCTCTCGTTGTCTGTCTTCTCTTCATCGTCCCTTCCCGCGCTCTCCGTCTCTTCCTCGAACAACGCCGACGCACACGAAAAGGAGATACGGAGAGAGACGAGGAGGAACAGAGGGAAATCATGATTTCGACGTCACGACAATGTCGGAAATGGTTACGCATAAAAGGACCCCAGAACGAGCAAGCTCTACAGGCGGAAGAGAAGTTGAAAGTTCGTGTCCTTCCCTCTTTGTCGTGTGCTTCGCAACACCTAGATGCTCCCACACGTGTACATTTTTTTCTTTCTTTACGTACACGCTTCCTTGAATTGCTCAGAGAATTCCTAATTCCCTAGAGCGATCGATTATTCTTTTTCTATCTCGACGATCATTATTAAAACTTCTTCCTGCTCCATTGGAAATTATATTTTCCGATGAACAATTTCTCATCCGATTTTGATAGACGAGAATTCAATGGGCTGTTTTCGATAGTCGAAGTCGATAGTCACAGTCGATCCTTCTTCGTCAAAGGGTAACGAGTTTGACAGTCTCGGCCAAGAATAATTTCTTCTCTCGCCTACATTCTTTTCCGCAGCAGTCCGCTGGCAGGGGAGGATAATTAGCAACCCTCGTAATATATATTACGCGGCTTTTGGGGTTGGCACCTAGGACGAATTTAAGAGCGAACACAGGGGGCCGCACGCGCCAGCCCCAGCTGCGAATCGCATTAATCACTCGAGTTTTATGTACAGGCATTATGCATGCTCTGAACGATACGTATTGTTCATCGATGCTGTTCTCTCGTTGTTTCGCGTTGGATGCCTACACGGACTGTACCGCAGGACTTCCTTCCTGTGAAGGTCTTGATTAAAATGGCAAACGAAAAGTTCGAAGGACCAGCAACAGCTGGATCAGTTCCCTGGAGCGCATTTGCAGAACAGAACTCTCCTCTTTATATATCGACGCGCCGTATCGTACCGTGCCTGCCTTCCGCGGGCCTGAAATAAAAGACCGTGCCTCGACAATGCTGGATTAAACTCGTACAAAGGGAACAGCTTCCCTCATTCTCTCGTTGTCTGTCTTCTCTTCATCGTCCCTTCCCGCGCTCTCCGTCTCTTCCTCGAACAACGCCGACGCACACGAAAAGGAGATACGGAGAGAGACGAGGAGGAACAGAGGGAAATCATGATTTCGACGTCACGACAATGTCGGAAATGGTTACGCATAAAAGGACCCCAGAACGAGCAAGCTCTACAGGCGGAAGAGAAGTTGAAAGTTCGTGTCCTTCCCTCTTTGTCGTGTGCTTCGCAACACCTAGATGCTCCCACACGTGTACATTTTTTTCTTTCTTTACGTACACGCTTCCTTGAATTGCTCAGAGAATTCCTAATTCCCTAGAGCGATCGATTATTCTTTTTCTATCTCGACGATCATTATTAAAACTTCTTCCTGCTCCATTGGAAATTATATTTTCCGATGAACAATTTCTCATCCGATTTTGATAGACGAGAATTCAATGGGCTGTTTTCGATAGTCGAAGTCGATAGTCACAGTCGATCCTTCTTCGTCAAAGGGTAACGAGTTTGACAGTCTCGGCCAAGAATAATTTCTTCTCTCGCCTACATTCTTTTCCGCAGCAGTCCGCTGGCAGGGGAGGATAATTAGCAACCCTCGTAATATATATTACGCGGCTTTTGGGGTTGGCACCTAGGACGAATTTAAGAGCGAACACAGGGGGCCGCACGCGCCAGCCCCAGCTGCGAATCGCATTAATCACTCGAGTTTTATGTACAGGCATTATGCATGCTCTGAACGATACGTTTTTTTTAGGTAATGGAAAATCAGAACATACTTTCCTTAATTTCCTGTAACTTAAATCAGAGAGCTATATAATTTTTCACGTAGTTGAAAAAATGAGTATATTGTAGCCAACAAGCTTTCATAGAAATGTCTGCGATTTACAAGTATTAAGAATTCATATAAATTAAAATCAAAAGCCAAAACCTAAATCTGAAACTTTGTGACATTCTGAAGATCGAACTTTATTTATACAAACCCATCAATTTTTTAATATTTTATATGAAACAAAAGTATTAACAGAACTTTTACGAAATATAGATGAGAGAATTAATGGAATCATTAACATTAATTACGATATTTCCCACTGACACTATTCATTGAAATATGACGCGTTATATGTACATGTATACATGTATGTAGTGGTACCGTACGTGAAACGATGTGTTTTCCAAAATTAGTTGGAATATGAAATGATATAAGCTGTTGAAAATGCCAGGGATACAACAGTGCAATTGTGCTTTGTAGAGGAGTGCAGAAGAGTGACAAATGGCAAACGCCTGTCGTTGACATGAATCTCTTCTCCTAGCCTCGAGTATCCCCGCATCATCCACAGCGTAGTGAACGGACAGTGTCGCCATATATGTATGTGTCACTTGCCAAGTATCGATATCGTTTGCCATGAAACAGACGTACGCGTAGCGTCCTTCCGTTTGCAGTGTCTGCACGTGCACATCTGATTCTACTTGAGTTGCGCTTCGTTTTATACAAAAAGAAATGTTCATAGTACGGTGCCATGAGTTTAAGGATGTATAGGCCATACAGTCAATCCCAACAGTTTATGCACTTTAGAAACACATTTTTTAAAAAGAAATCAGACGTCCGAAGAACATTGCTAATAATAAACAACAACAAAAATTTTTGTTATTTTTCCGAGATTTTTCCAAGGGGTACCCCCTTCAGATTTCGCGAAATTTTCGTTTTTTGTCAATAACTCCCAAACCGTTGGATCTACGGGAAAATTGCATCAGTCCTTTTTTGTAGAGGACGACGAGATCTACAATTTCTGTATAAAAGTTTCTTGCTAGCATCTATAGTTAACGAGTAATTTGCAAAAAACTGTTTTTTCGTTTTTCGTCAATAACTCGTTAAATATTAATGTTAGCGAAAAATTTTTACATGCAAATTATAGATCTCATCGTCCTCTATAAGAAAGGTTTGATGCAATTTTCCCGTAGATTCAACGGTTTAGGAGTAATGAAGGAAAAATGAAATTTTTTGCCAAAAGTTCGATGTTTCGACGATGGGATGGTCGGATTTTGTCAACATCAATAAAATGCCAAATAATCATACGTAAC